ACTTTGGGATAAATATTGGTCAGACCACCAGGATAACTTCCCTGCTCTGCTTTCAAGACCAGATGGAGCCTCAGTTTGCGAAAGACAGTAACTGCAACAATGCAGCACTCTCTCGGTTCTGAGAGTGTCAGAATTGAAAACAAATCATACTGGAAATCACAGTGGGTCAGGTAGCATCTGTGGAGAGAGTGAGAGTAAGCTAACATTTCGAGTCTAGATGACTTCATCAGAGTTGATGTGAAGTGTGGTGGGGGCAACATTTAGGCAATAATAGGGTTGGGGGGGTTGGAGTGCTGGGGGAGAAAGGGCGTTGAAAGAGCAGATTTATGAGTGTCAGCCTGGATTGTGTGTTCGAGTCTTGGGACTGGCTTTTTTGACTGGGAGCTAGCTGAATGGCAGCTTAATCTGAGGCACAAGGAGTACTGTTCTTGAACTTCACTCAATATCTCCAGCGCAGAAACTGGTCATTCAGCTTGACTGCTGCCTGTTGCTCTATGTGAACTTCCTCCTACCACCTCTCTGTCTCAGCCTATCAGCACCTCCTTCTATTCCTTTCTCCTTCATGGGTTTATCCAGCTTCCCTTTAAATATGTTGATGGTATTTACCTTAACCATGTGACAGCAAGTTCCACATTCTCACCACTCCTGTAGGGAAGTGGGAACCGGATTTATTAGTGACTGTCTTGTATTGATGACCCCTACATTTCCCATAAATGGAAAGAGTTTCTTTCTGGGAGATGGACGATGCAGCTGACAGAGATCTCACTGAGGGCTGTCAAGCTGAAATGGATAGCTGTGGGGACAGTCGGGCCATTCCCTGGGATCAGGGAGCCCATGGCTGGATTCCCCCTCCTCCCCAGAGGCTGGCAGCTCACGGTGCTAGAAGGTGTTGGGATTGCTGCCAGTAATGTACCCAGTAGGGACCCAGGTCACAGCTGAGTAAGGCTGCACTGGGAGTCACAGTGCAGAGGTCCCTGTGGGAGGGGGACAGCAGCAAGGGTAGGTGGGGGTGCTGTTTGCTCTCAGCAGCATTCCACACCCCCCTCATTTCTAATACTGAGTCCCTCAAACAAACTCTGTGCTTTTGAACAGAGACCCACCCCCTTCCACATTTCCCTCAAACTATTCTGAGCTTGCTTCTTGATAGATCTCACATGCAGCCTCATGCACCGGTTTTGTGCTGTGGATAGAAATGCACAGCCCTCATGGTTTCACAGTCCTTCGTGATGCATCAGCATGTATCAAACCAAAGGTTGTATCTATGGAAATTCCTTATTTTCAGTGGCTCTGTCATGGCGACAAAGAAGTTACAAGCATTCACCTCCCACCTTCACAGATAAAGAATGTAGAACCCACATTTGCCAATTCCTGTCTCTCCTTCCAAAAGGAAGATCTCCACACCATTATCAACAAGATGATCTTCACTGGCCCGAAACTTGTTTACTCAGGATCCATCTCTGCCCATCTCTTCCTGGCCTCCCTTACACACTGTGCCTGGGCCAGGAGGGTTCTTACTCATATCACATTCCCATGCCCCACCCTCTGATGGTGAAGAGAACAAAGATATTTGACCGTGGAGGGAATCACTGCTGAATTTGATGGTACAACCACCCTATATCCCAGCAGGAATTATGGCTGATTTTTTTCTCTTAATAAAATTTCATTGAGAATAATAATTAATGAAGGCAAAGGATAGGATAGGAACATAGCTGTGGTTGAACAGGTACTAGTTTTGCCTCAGAACTGAAGCCTTTTGGATGGGTCATTAAATTGAGGTCCTGCTGTAATGTATTCTTTGAAAAGGAGAAGAGGATGTCTGTTCTCAACCGACATCATTGAAACCAAAACATTGCTCATTTGTCTCCCTAATGTTTATAGGACTTTCCTATCCAAACTGACCTTTGTGTTTGCTTTCGGAGTACTTCAGGAGTAAGTTTTCACATGTAAAATCCCTAAGAGTTTTTATCATAGCATTACAGAGTGGTACAGAGACTCCAGAACATTAGGAAGACTTTTGGCTCATCAAGTCTGCACAATCCAGTTCATCTCCCGCCCTCATTCTTCCTCGTATCACTGCAATAATTTTGAATTTCATATATTTATCAAAGTTTGGTACATCTTCTTTCCTTTGAAGTTGATCAGAAATTAAAAGGAGGCCATTCAGTGCAACCTTTTCCACTTTCAAAAAAATGTTATGCCTCACTAGGGCAGCATGCTGCAGTCATTCCTGCAGTCATTGCAAACGTTAAAGATTTTTAAATGTACTCAGAATTCCCCAATTTTCTGTCTTTTAGAGGGTTTTAGACACATGGTGCAGAAAGCACAGGTTTCTGTACATAACAAGAATTACTGTTTATTCCAAATAAATAGATTCTAAGTACAGATAAACAATTATGATGTGCTAACATATAATCCTCCTAGTTAAAACTCAAACTCATTTATAAACCTCCCCCTCTACACAGACAGACAGACACAAAATAAACATGGGTGTTATGGGTAGAGAGAAAGACTGGGAAAGCAGTTCAGTGATCCGTGTTACAGGGTTTGCTGAGATTGCCAAGCAAAGAGACCTTAAGGTGCAGGTTCATTGTTCCAGGTAGACAGGATAGTGAAGAGGGCATTTGGTACAGTGGCCTTTATTGGTCAGTGCATTGAGTATAGGAGTTGGGTTGTCATGTTGCAGCTGTACAGGACATTGGTGAGCCCACTATTGGAATACTGCATTCAGTTCTGGTCTCCTTGCTATAGGAAAGATGTTGTTAAACTTGAAAGGGTTCGGAAAAGATTTACAAGGACGTTGCCAGGTTTAGAGGGTTTGAGTTACAGAGAGAGGCTGAATAGGCTGGGGCTATTTCCCTGGAGTGGCAGAGGCTGAGGGGAAACCTTATAGAGATTTATAAAATCATGAGGGGCATGGATAGGGCGAATAGTTAAGGTCTTTTCCCCAGAGGGCATAGGTTTAAGGTGAGAGGGGAAAGATTTAAAAGGGATCGAAGGGGCAACTATTTCATACAGAGAGTGGTACGTTTATGGAATGAGCTGCCAGAGGAAGTGGTGGAGGCTGGTACAATTACAACATTTAAAAGGCACCTGGATGAGTATATGAATTGGAAGGGATTAGAGGGATATGGGCCAAATTCTGGCAAATGGGTCTAGATTTATTTAGGATATCTGGTCATCATGGATGAGTTGGACCGGAGGATCTGTTTCTGTGCTGTACAGCTCTATGACTCTAAATTATCATTTTTCTGATCTGACGCTGCTGCTTCTTGATCTTCCTTCTCCAGATGCTTTCACTTGTTTGCAGGAGGCACAGGGTGACTGGTTCAGATTTATAAAAGTCCCTGACATATTAATGAAAAGCCACAGCTTACAGCAACTGATGAGGGGAAATAAATTGGTTGCTTTCAGGTTTGAGATACATTTTGCCGCAGGGCAGAAACACAGCTCCTGCCCTCCCAGAAATCCAATTTCTCTGATTTGGACATTCACACACACCAAACTCTTCACCTGCCTGGGAGCCAGTCACAGGTGTTGGCAGGCAGTAGTCTCTTGTCATTGATAACTTATCACCTTACCACAGACCAGATACTTCTTGCTGGTCAAAGTTGCACTGATGTTTGTCATTGATATAAACAATTTGAATGATAACATAGGAAGCATGATTAGTAAGTTTGCAGATGACACCAATATAGGAGGTGCAGTGGACAGTGAAGAAGGCTATCTAAAAGTACAACGGAATCTCAATCTGATGGGCCAATGGGCCGAGGAGTGGCAGATGGGGTTTAATTTAAATAAATGCAAGGCGTTACATTTTGTCAAGATAAACCAGGGCAGGACTTACACTGTTCATGGTAGGGCTGTGGAAGAATGTTGTCAAACAGAGAGATCCAGGGGTTCAGGTATATAGTTCTTTGAAAGTGGCATCATCACAGATAGGCAGGGTGGTGAAGAAGGCATTTGGTATGCTTGCCTTCATTGATCAGAGCACTGAGTATAGGAGTTAGGATGTCATATTGTGGCTGTACAGGACATTGAGGCTACTTTTGGAATACTGCATTCAGTTCTAGTCGCTCTGCTACAGGAAGGATATTATTAAATTGGAGAGGGTACAGAAAAGATTTACCAGAATGTTGCTAAGACTGGATGGTTTGAGTTATAAAGGGAGGCTGGATAGGCTGGGGCTATTTTCCGTGGATCATAGGAGGTTGAGAGGTGACCTTATAGAGGTTTATAAAATCATGAGGGGCACAGATAAGGGAAATAGAAAAGGTCTTTGCTCAAGGTAGGGGAGTACAAAACTGGAGGGCATAGATTAAGGTGAGAGGGCAAAGATTAAAAAGGGACTTGGGGGGCAACTTTCTCACGCAGAGGGTGGTGCATATATGGAATGAGCTGCCAGAGGAAGTGACAGATGCAGGTAAAGTTACAATCTTTAAAAGATATTTAGACAGGTGCATGGATAGGAAATGTTTAGACGGATATGGGCCAAATGCAGGCAAGAGAGACTAGCTTAGTTTGGGAAACTTGGGAATGGCAGGGACGAGTTGAACCACAGGGTCTGTTTCTGTGCTATATGACTCTATGACAAACTGGACTTTCCCCTGCTGCTTGTACAAATAGCTGTGTAAGAGTATCAGGTTACTTGCTTTTAAAAAAGCAATCTTTCAACAATCCTTGCTTTTCGAAAACAAATCTTTTTCCATTTCAGTCCCCAATCAAAAATACAGAAAACTAAGCAGGTACATTTATTACAAAGATCACAATTGATCTGTACATAACCCTGTTTACCCATCTCTGCATCCTTTAGCTCACACAAACACACTGACCTCAATCTTGAAAGGTCCATTTAACTCCATCACTGTCAGGCTTCAGTGGGAGAAATGTTCAGATTATGCACTGGGATTTTTGCTCTCTGTTTCCAGCAATTCCCCAGACTGTACAATGGCAGTTGTTGAGTTGCTCCCTCGTTGACTATTCGACCGTGTGATTGCTTTCAGGAAGGAGACTCAGTTGGAGCCATGGAGAAGGTTTGCAGGCAGCTCACCTACCACCTGAGCCCACACTCGCAGTGGAGACCTCAGGGCCTCATGAAACGGAAGCCCCAAGCCTGGTAATTCATACTCAGAGAGTTACAACACTGTGTTGCTGTCCTGTCCCACCCAACCTCCACCCCCTCTTTTCCCCATACCCCATGATCCAACCCACCCACCTGCTCCCCACAACCTCAATGACCATCTACCACCTCCTCCCAGTACCCCTCAATTCCCACTAACCACCCGTCTCCCCAAATCTCTCAATCTACACCCACCCACCTATTCCCCTCAGCCCTCAATCCCACCCACTGTAATACTCCAGTCCTAGGGAACAGGGCTATAACCAAAATTATGGTCATTTTCAGTGTGAACATCAACAATAAATAATGTCTTTACTGAGTCAATATTTTAAAATCCTGACAAATTCCTCGTCTGCTATTTGTTGGATCATGCTGTGTACGAAGTAGTTACCACATTTGTTTACAATGTAAGAATTCAGTGTGTGTTACTACATGGGCAGAAGCATTTAAAGTGAAGAGAGATAGACACTGGGGAGTGGGGGCAGCTGGGAAGTATTGCCATGTAAAAGGCACTATGCAGGTTGTTGTTGCTGTTGAAGAGAACGATTTGTTAACGGGCAGAGAGATGCTTGCGTGGATTATAAGCACCAACATAGATCTTCGACCCTGCAGTCGCAGTGTGACTTTGTGTCATGTGGACGGAGTTCTTTCTGGGATGTGATGAAGTATTTTATAAAATTGACTGTTTATTGTATTTGTTTAGAGAAGGATATATTTTTGTGTTGATTAATGCCAAGGGATTAAGGGCTCCTACAGACAAATCTGCTTTGGCAGCATTGTGCCCAGTGAATCACAGCAAACTCTGGAGCCAGACCAGCCTATCTCCTGACTGGGATTTACTGGAACTCGGAAAGTCTGTGACTCAAGGAGAAACATTCTGGGCGCTAATCCTCAGCCGTTTGGCTGACCTGCTCATTTAATCATCTTATCTGGTGAGATTAACATTATAGAAACTGTTGTTTCTGAGAGGAGGGGAGCTGGGTGCAGAGGAGTTGGTGCTTTCTCTAGAAGGTGGAGGATGTTGGATCCCTGGGATGGGCATACAGACAAGACCTTGCCAGGGGAGGGGCGTGCATTGGTTAGCAGGGTGCTCCCAGGTTTATGGGAGGAAAGGGTCTCTCTGAGGTGGGACAGCCATCTTGAGGGCCGTGCCCCTTCTAATGGACTTAATCCACTGCCACCACCTCAGGGTTCGCTGCAGTACCTTACCAGGATTCCTCTGACAGCACCTTCCAAAGCCATGACCTCTAGAAGGACAAGAGGAGCAGATACATGGGAACACTTACCCCCAACAAGTTTCCCTCCAAGCCACTCACCATCCTGATTTGGAAATATATCGCTGTTTCTTCAGTGTCACTGGGCCAGAATCCTGGAATTCCCTCCCTAATAGCATTGTGGGTTTTTCTGCACCTGAAGATGACAGCATTTCAAGAAGGCAGCTCATTACGACCTTCTCATGGGCATCTAGGGTTGGGCAATAAATACATGAGTGAATAAAATGAGAACTTGGGACTGGCAATAAAAGCTAGCCCTGGCAGTGGCACCCAGATCCTAAAAGCAAGTTTTAACACAACCATTCTGAGTGATAAGCTTCTCCAACACATCTTAAATTTGTATTGGAAAGTAAAGGAGACATTTTCTTGGATGAAAGTCTGAATTCACATGGAATTGGATCCCAGGGTCTGGAGATGATTGAGGGAGCTGAATCCACAAGGAGCTTTGCTCCTACATCTGAGCCAGGCTTGGCCACTTTGCTGCTGGCAGTGATTAAAAAGCTACCACAGACTAACGGAGCTCATTACCAGCACTGCCTGTTGTCGTGTGGATGGAGCTGCATGACTCACTGTGATTTCAATGATGAATTAATTCCACGGAGATCCAGTTAGTGCCCAGACTGATGCTCCCCAATCCTTTCGTCATCACCAAAACATTTACAGATTTGAGTGAAAGTAGATCTTTGCTGAATCTCTGTTGCCTTAGGATTTTGTGTGTGGTTGTGGGGGGGCGCTGGTGGTGGTGTGGTGGGGGTGAAGTTGGAGGGGCCTCAGTCATATCTTTTTCATCATGGTTTCAGATCCAGACTGCAACACTGGGTGGTCCACCAGGGAAAACTTGTAAATAAGAACCTCATTGTTCTGTGTTACACACATTCTGGGAATTATAAACGGGCCTCTCTGTCACTGTACCATATTGTGGCGGAAATAATAAACTTAATTTAATGAATTTAACCAATAAAAATCACCTTTAAACCCCCTCCCCCAGGGTACACTCCAGGGTCCAACCCCTCTTCCTCCTCCCACAGGAATCCCTCCCTCAGAAAAACCATGGCTCAGAAGCAGGAACCCCAACGGACTTTCCCTAACCAGTGTCCCACACAAGAAGGAAGAATGTAATCACTTGTGTTTGAGTGAGGAATGTGGGGAAACGCTGGGAATGATCATGGGCCCAGGTTGGGAAGGGGCTCAAAGTCTGTGTGGTACAGGGTAGGCCAGGGACTCACAGTCTGGGCGGTACAGGGTAGGCCAGGGACTCTC